ACTGAGCCAGCCAAGTGCCTCAAAGTTTTTAAATATAACAAATATTTGGTAGAATTCACCAGTAAAGCAATTTGGGCCTGGAGTATTATTGGAGGGAAGGTTCTTAACTACAAATGCAATTTCTTTAACAGATACAGAGATATTCAGATTATGTACTTCTTGAGTGTGCTTTGGTAATCTGTCTTTCAAATGAATTTTTCATTTCATTAATTTATTAAATTTATAGGCATAAACACATACAAAATTCCCTTGTTATCCTTTTAACATCTGTAGAATTGTAGTTATGACATGATATTGGCAAGTTGTGTCTTGTCTTTGTCTCTCTGTCTCTCCTTTTCTTAATCAGTTCAAGTGGAGATTTATCAATTTGATCTATTTAATCATAGAACCAGTTTTTAATTTCAATGATTTTTCTTTTATTTTTGTTTTCTATTTCATTGACTTCCACTTTGATCTTTACTATTTCCTTTCCTCTGCTTACTTTGAGTTTAATTTGCTCTTCTTAAGTTTTATAAGGTAAAAGTTTATAACGTAGAAAGTCACCAAATTCAGATGTTCTTTTTTTTCTTATATAGGTGTTTAGTGCTATTTAATTTTACCTAAAGGGTAATTTAGCAGGATCACACTAAATCATCAGTGTTGTGTTTTCATTCTCATTCAGTTAAAAATACTTGCTAATTTCTCTTTTGATTTCTTCTGTACTCATGGGTTATTTAGGATTGGATGCGCAAAAGAGATCATCTACAGACCTCTGGGATTCCCTATGAGTTCTCTATGGGGTTCTCTCCACTCTGGTGGTCTGTCCTCTGAACTCTGGCTGCCTTGGTCTCCCTGGACTTCCTGTTCTGTCTTAACTCAAGAGTGTCTGCTGAGTTTTGCCTGGGTTACCCACCCCGCCCCCCCCACCCACGCCCACCCTGTGCTATGTGCTGGAAATTCTTTCAATGCATTAGATGGAAGCAATCATAGGACTCCTCTTGCTTCTCATATCTCAGGGATCACTGTCCTTAGTTGTCTGACAGCCAGTGTCTTGAAGACTACTGTTACATATATTTTGCCTGGTTTGGGGGATATTTCAAGGAAAAGAGTAAATCTGGTCCCTATTGCTCCATCTTAGCTAGAAAAATAAATCATTTTATTCTGTTTTTTATATATCATTATGAATTCAAGATTTTTGTACATTTGGTTTGCTTTAACCCATTTCAGCCATTTTCCTTTTTGATATTCAAAGTAAGCCAACTTAGGCCACTGGGAACCATTTCATGTTTACTTTGGGTCCTTTTGACGTGTTTCTATTAGTTCATTCAGTGGCAAATGATATTTAGGCACCACCATCTAGACGCTAGGGGTTAATTACATATTTGCATTTGCTAAATCTGTTTTTGAAGAGTAGGAGGGAAAACAATATAGAAATATTTTATATTTATAAACAGATACATTGCAGTGAAAGAACAAACATACCTGTGTTGGAGAAGACTCAATTCTGTCACATACAACACGTCACTAAGATTCTCAACTGTTAAATGGAGACCTCAAAAGTTCTTATTATTGCTTCTTAAATATGGGTCTCATTGTTTCCAAACACAGCCTAGTGAACCTGACTTTATCTTCTCAACTTGGCTGCATTCAGTCTTAGCTATTTCTGGACTCTAATTTGCAATCATAGGAGCCTAGAAGGAAGACCTCCTACTCTAAGATTATTTGATATTAGCAGAATTTATCTGAAGACTAAGGGTATTTCGTCAATAAATATTGCAAAATGAGTAACAGTCTAGTCAAGGCTGAGAGCATCAAAGTAAAATTGAGCCCAACGAACCATAGTAATAGGATATCAATATTTTTCCACCTATTCCAAATCTTCTGTCTTCTTGCCCTTGGTGTAACAAATCCCCAATTTTCCTTTCTAAATTATTAATTTGGTTTCTTAGTTTCAGGGAAACCCCCCTCATAGTCCCTTCTAGGTTAATGATTCTGTTTTTAAATTTATTTATTTAAGAGAGAGAGAACAAGCATGTGCACAGGAGAGGGGGGAGCAGAGAGAGAGGGAGAGAGAATCTCAAGCAGACTCTGCACTGCCAGCACAGTGCCTGACACAGGACTCAATCTCAAGAACCATGAGATCAAGACCTGACCGAAATCGAGTAGGACTCTTAACCGACTAAGCCACCCAGGTGCCCCATAGGTCAATTACTTTTAAATGCATAGGTTCTTCTGGGTACAAAAAACTCTAAAGATAGATCATCTAATTTAGACACATCTCTTCATAGACAAGAAACTAAATCATGGAGGTTTTATGTCATTTGCCTCTTTTAGCAAACTGAGAGCCAGAGACTTAGAAAAGTAATATATTGGAAAGAATTTCTAAACCATATAAACTTAAACATATTTACACCAATAGCTCTCAACACTCTGCATCTCACATCTCTTAAATCATTAATTTAAAAATTATATACCACGATGATAAGAAGGGTAACACAACTTCCTCGGAGCATTTATATATTTATAAACATTTTGTGAATGTAAATTACATTTTGTGCAATATCTGAGTATGAAAACTGTCAGAATGCAAATATTTTAACCCAAAAGCTTTTATTTTATTAAAACCTGAGTTCTTTTTAAAATTTTTTTAATGTTTGTTTATTTTTGAGAGAGACAGAGACAGGATGTGAGTGAGTTAGGGGCAGAAAGAGAGGGAGACACAGAATCTGAAGCAGGCTCCAGGCTCCGAGCTGTCAGCACAGAGCCCCATGTGGGGCTCAAACCCACAAGCTGTGAGATCATGACCTGAGCGGAAGTCAGACGCTCAACCAACTGAGCCACCCAGGTGCCCCTAAAACATGATTTCTACCCTTAGTATTCAAGAGATAAAAACAATTAAAATAGCTTTAGAGAAGCTATGCATGCTTAAAATTCTATCTTGCCTTTATTTGAATCCAGGAAAATAAGCAATATTATACCACCAACCAGTCTTCTCATCAGAGCAAACGACTTTATTGACCAACAAAGAATGATCCTCAAAAGTCTGTGGACTGGCTTTGATATTAATCCAGTAGATCCGAACTACTGACAGTCCAAACCACCAATTCTGGCCTATAATCTTCAGAAGAACATTCTCAGCAAATTCAGCCTTCCAACGCAGACATTTGCTATTTGCTATAGCTGCTATTTTGTCACTGAGAGTAATTCTGATCTTTTAAGTACCAGTGTACCATAATTTTTGGCCATCTCAAAATGCTCAGGGAAGCACTTACTGATCTAATAAGTCTTGTTTTGTCTTTAATGAGTACAATTTCTAGCGATCATAAAAATCCCACATATGGTCATTATAACACTTGTTGTGCACAATCTGTTCATCCAAAGGCATTTCTACTCTACACTATAAACAACATTAGATGTGACTAGAAAAACATTCATCCACCAAGATGTTCCAGGCCAAGGTTATAGGAAATGAATAAAAATTATGGTCATGTATGGTCTTGGTTACACTAAGATATTCTGATAGAACAATAATTGAGAATGATGTGTTTTTCCTCTCACTCAGCTTTAGTCTCTGATCCTCAAAAAACAATTAAAGTTGGTCAGTTATCAGTCATTTAAGACACAGGACAATCACAGGATCTGTTTCAGACACACCAGACCAAACCAGTGATTTGATATTCTTCTCTCAAAGTTTGCTCTGATTTTCAAGCAACTTAGATATAACAAAATCCATTTTAATACTAGGAGTAACATTAGCTTAGCATTTACTGCAATTTTGACACTGAGGCAAGCACCTTGCATGTATTATTTCAATTAATACCCTGAAAAATATTTGTCTACTCAGCTAATAAGTGCCAGAGACAAGATTCAAACTCAAGCAAACAACAGAGCCCAGGCACCTATCCCCTGTGCCTTTATTGGAGAGTCCCACGTAACTCATTATCATTTGCTCTCTTCCTAGAAAGAAAAGAAAAAGATTATTTCCCACTAAACTGTAAGCTTAAAGAGACCTGAAGAGACCAAGCCCTAAGAAACCTGGGATCTCAACCGGTTTATTTCAACATTGTGCTGCTAACATAAGTTTCCTAAGAGTAGTGAAATGAAGGAAAGGTGAATGAAAAGGTTACTCAACTACAAAGTGGGAAAGGCAAGGACTCATACCCATTATCCTAAGTATAATATGATGCAGTTGAAATCTATCCAATGACAAATTTCAGATAATACACAGGTAAATTTTATAGTCATCCATTCTTCATTACACACATGTAAGAATTAGCTCCTAATTATTTTAAAGCTCTGGAGTACAGATGACACATAAGTGAGAGATTACAAAGGAACTGGAATTTTCATCATTGCCAAAATATGATATTTTATATATTTGGTATAAAAGTGAACTCTCCTAGAAGGTTAATTTTTGACATAAATTCACCTCTCTTTTCACCTTACATTTTCAGCTTAATCATATGCATGAGACATATGTACTTCCTAAAAGCCAAATGCAATAAATTAACATTTAAATAATTTTTGTTAGATAGATCAGTTTCTTTAATGCATATATTTATCTCATAGTCATTGGCAATGAAAAAGCAAGAAAGTAAGCTTTCTTGTTTAAATGAATGTTCCATTTAAGAAAGGATAGATTTTGTATTGTTGCTTTAAACTGATCTCAACTACCAAATCCTAGTACACTTTTATTTTTTTTTTTAATGTTTGCTTACTTTTGAGAGAGAGACACACAGAGTGTGAGCAGGGGAGGGGCAGAGAGAGGGAGACACAGAATGTGAAGCAGGTTCCAGGTTCCGACCTGTCAGAACAGAGCCTGATGCGGGGCTCAAACTCAGGAGCCGCAAGATCATGATCTGAGTCGAAGTCTGATGCTTAACCAACTGAGCCACCCAGGCACCCCAATCCTAGTACACTCCTGTAATGGTCTGACTGTTCCTCACTCAAATACATTTACCAATGCTAGGGTGCTGATATGAATGATAGAAAGGCTAAGGAGATGCAACCACAGAACCTACCTTGGTTAGGTGAATGACTCCTTTAGAAGTAACCGAACAACCCATGAAGCCAACGTACTGAAGTTCAGGACAGTGCTCAGCAAATGCTTTCACTGACTGATCTGTTACCTAGGGAAGGGACACGAATAAAGTTATTCAAAGTGGCATCCCAGCGAGTTTAAGGATTTGGCTCCTGCAAATTCCCTCTGCCCTACCTCGTGTCATTAATATTTCCCTTTCCGTTGGCTCATTTTAATCTGTTTACAAACATGCAGCAATATCTCCTGTGGGTTTTTTTAACTTTATTTCTTTTTCAAGTAATCTCTACACCCAACATGGGGCCTGAACTCACAACCCCAAGATCAAGAGGCACATGCTCTTCTGACTGAACCAGCCAGGCACCCACGATGTCAACACTCTCCATCACCACTTCTTCCTAACAATCTCTCTCAATATACATATTTTCTATTGACATATAATCCACACACTATAGCATTCACCCTTTCAAAGGGTACCGTTCAGTGGTTTTTAGCATATTCACAATTGTGCACCCATCTAACCCTAGAACATGCTTATGACCCCCAAAAGAGTTGCCCTCAATTCTTGGCAACTTTCCACCTCTATGGATTTGCCTGGTCTGAACATTTTTTTATCATGGAAATTATATAACTGGTTCCTAAAAGACGACAATGGTCTCTTTATAAGGTTTATACCTTCAAGTGTTTCTTTCAAGGAATCTGACTTTGCCCCTAGCTGCTTCAAATTCTTTAAATTAGGGTGGTGTGATGATTAATTTTATGTGTCAACATGGCTATACAACGGGGCACCAAAATATTTGGTTAAACAGTGTTCTGGGTATGTCTGTGAGGATATTTGTGATGAGATTAACATTTGAGATGGTGTACTGAGTAAAGCAGACTGTCCTCCCCAATGTGAGTGGGCCTCATCTAATCCACTGGAGTTCTAAATGTAACAAAAAAGCTGAGTAAGGGAGACTTGGCTCACTCTCTCTCACTCTAGCTCTTTTGTTCTCGCTCTCGCTCTTTCTCTACATGGCTATCTTCAAGCTGAGACATCAGTCTCCTACCTTCAGATTCAAACTTGGACTAGAACTTACACTGTTGGCTCTACTGGTTCTTATGCCTTTGGACTCAGATTAGAACCATATCATCAGTTTTTCTGTGTCTCCAGATTGTGACCTCAGGTTTTAGAACTTCTTGGCTTCCATAAATGTGTAAGCCAATTCCTTACAATAATCTCTTTATAGAAACACACACACACACATTTTCTCTCTCTCTCTCTCTCTCTCTTTCTCTCTCTCTCTCATACGGATTCTGTTTCTCAAGAAAACCCTGACTAATGTAATACATATTAGAATTCCCTGAGGAGTTCATTAAATATTCAGCGCCAAAAGGGTGAGGCCCAAGAATCCCTATTTTTAATAAGCCCCTGAGTGATTCCTAGGCATGTAAAAGCTTGAGGCCCAAGTGCTGCCAAGAAGTTACCTTGACAACTTTTGACATTTCCACCTGGCTCTGCTTTAAACAAAGGGCAAAGTGAAATTCCTTTTTTGTCTTCCCCCACCTCCAGAAAATTTCAGTGTATAAAATTATCCTCTTGAAATTGTGCTAAAATTCTCTTCACTGTTCCACAAAGTGGTAGTTTATAAAAGAAGGTCCAAATATTCTCTACCATAGGCTTAATTTCAGTTTCATTTTCTTCACAGTCAAGATGAGATCAACAAGTTAAACACCTTTGTTAGTTTTTCAAACAGCAGTGACAAATCTCTTTTGCATTAGCTTTAATATGGGTGACACTTTGTATCTTCCTTATCTATTCTGAATAGATATTGGAAAATAAAGGTATGTGGGTAGCATTAATTCTAAAACAATCACAAGAACATTTTCCTAAAATAATGAAACCAACAGCATCCATGGTACATCTGATAAAAGATTAATTCTGCACTCAAAAGTAAAGTATGCTTTAGCATATTAAGGCTAAGGGTGCCATTGATAAATTAAAAATGGGCCTTCCTGACACTCAGCTTTCTAAAAAACATTATGTTAACAAAGAATGTTTCAAGCACTAAAATCGCCTGAAGCCTCAATGGAAACCAATTTCTATTTTTTAAAAAGAGGGTAGGGGTTAACAGAGGTTAAATACATATGGTCAGGTGGTTAAATACCCTGCCCAATCTCACTCTAACATCTAGCCTTTCCTACCTCCATCTTCAAGGAGGGGAGAGGAACTCAGATAAGGATTAAGGACACAAGAAAGCTCAGGTCCAAGGTGTTAAATCTTGCAGAGAGAAGAAAAAAGAGTATTAAAAATTTGGTTTGCGGGTCTTCCTCGTTCAGCTCAAGCAATCAGAACAAGAGAACTCAGAGGAGCCTCCAGCACCAACAGAGTCCTATAAGTCAAGCAAGACCAGAGTAAGTCCTTGGGATATAGAAACACTCTTAACTACGCTTGGGTATGTTTTGGGAGACTAATCAAAGGGCCTTGAAGATTCGGGCAGGGTCTGGCTCCATTCCAAAGAATAGAAGATATGTTAGAAATTTGGGGTTAAATATCTCACTTGTTTCAGGCAGAAATAAGTATAGACTGCAAGCAGCAGGTACTGGTGAGTATCAGCTTCTCTGGGACCCAGTAGTCTGCCTAACTCTTTTCAAATCCCAGGTGGACCACTTATTAGCTGTGTGATTTTAAGCAAGTCATTTCATGTCTCTATACTTTGTTCCTTCTATAACACAGAGAAAATAACAGTACCTAGCTCACAGGGTAAAATATGAGGCGAGATAAATGCATATAAAATGTTTTGAACAGGACATGGTTCATTGTAATTGCTTAACACATTTTAGCTATTATCATCATAATCATCCCAGGCTCCCCTTTCTTCTGTATTCTAGTTCTTAGCCAGGACTAAGGGGTTGACATGTGTAAGAAAATAATTAAAAAAAAAAAAGTGTAGTCAAAGCCTGCTGGCTTACCCTCCTACTTATTCCAAGACATTCTGATCATAATTTGGGGGCTCTAAGTTTTGGGCTAAACTGTGGGACGAGAGTGAAGGAGACATTGGTAGAAGCTTATTATTGAACCATTATGGTAAAAAGAATCCCATTTTGTTAAGGTTCTCAGCCTGACTGCACATCAGAATTACCTGAAGAGTTTCCTGATTTAATTTCTGGTGGAGATATGCCTTAATTTTATTCTAAAAGTTACCCCCCCCCCAACCCAGAGAGAGTCTAACATGCAGCCTGGGTTTTGAACAAGTTCAAAAGCCTTTCATTCAAAATGTGGCCAACAGCACTGGCATCAACTTGGAGGTTGTTAAAAATGCAAAATCTCAGACCCCATCACAGACCTACTGAATCCTAATCTACAGTTTAGTAAGATCTCCAGGTGATTCCTTGTTTATTTGTTTGTTTTACTATTTATTTAAATAATCTGTACACCCAATGTGGGGCTCAAAATCACAATCTCAAGATCAAGAGTCTCATGCTTTACCAACTGAGCCAGCTAAATAGCATTCCCCCCCCCCCCC